ATATATATATATATATATATTTATATTTATATATCTCTGATATTTTGCATCAGACATTGTGACAACAGCATCTAAGCATCTTAATGACCCTTGAAAACCTGCAGTAGCAAATTTGTGTATAGGCATTGTATGATGATGACACATAACATATCAACCAAGATTTATAACAAATATTTGTTTTGGAATGACTGTTTACAGAGTTCTCTTAATGTCTATGCTATTTTAAAAATTACTATCCTGCATTTCTGTTACGTAATTTTTGTTCTCCTTTCTCCAAATCTCACACTCCGGAACATAATTGCTGTCTTTCTCTTCTCTTCAGACCTCTGACTGCTGAGTTCAGGAGTGTTTCCCCGTGCCCAGGCCTCGTGCCAATCCGATGCCAATCTGACATGCAAATGAGCTCCTGGCTTCTGCTGTGGTGTCATTTTATGGCAGCCCTGCACTCATCACTCCCAGAATGCACTGCTTCCCACACCGCCTCTGCTCCTTAAAGCATCTAATTAAAACAGCAGAACCCTCTGCCTCACCCCTCCCCTCTCCTCCCCAGTCTCTCACACCATTCCACAAGAGAAATGATTATTAGGAATTTAATAGGGAGAGTTTTGTGTCCCAGGCCATCTGTGTCCCGGAGAAGGCTGGAAATTTGGGGAGGGTTGACGATGTGACTAGCTGTCCTTTTTTCCCCTCTTTCCCTCTCTCTCTCTCTTTCTCTCCGGGAATTATTACTCACTTCTGCAGCCAAAGTTTAAGGTGTTAAATCACCATTGTGGGGGCAGAGCATTTTTCACTTTTAATCACCCAGATTATTTCTAACAGGCTATTTATTTTAGATAATGCCAGACTCAGAGGGATTGTGCCCTTTAACCATTCAAGACACTGTTTGTCCATTTAAATAATTGCTATTTATCAGGACTGGAATTCTGTAACTTTTCATTTCATTGAAAAATTCAATAAATTAATCAATGAAGCAAATAAACAATTTAAATGAATTTCTCAAACTTACAAATGTTTCATCCTAACTGATCAGTTTCTTCAAGACTTACATAGTGAACTCGGAAGAGATGAATCATGTAATTGCCATGCAATGATAACAAATAAATAAGATAAAAATACAAAATACATTTTTAGCATAAATTAGTACATTTCAAACAATGACAAAGAAATGGGAAATGATGCATCCATTGAATTAAACAAGAAATTTTGAAGTTGAAAAACTGAAATATTATTTTCATGTAAAACATATTCCAAAATCTCAGCAACCTTGCACCTCAAGATTTGTGGCACTGTATAATGTATTGTAAATGCAATTCATATTTACTTGTGACATACTGACAATTAAGCCATGGGGTGCAATTATGAGCCACTCGTTAATTGATTCACTTAGAGTAAGTTGATTGTCTGTTATATGTATATGCATATATGCATGTGTTGCATGCATTATGAATAGCATATTAATATGGGTCAGATATGAATGTGAAAACTGTGTCCATATAAAGCCAGACTGACGCCCCCAGCTCTGCCACCCACACAGAATATGCCATATGCTGCTCTATACTTTACCTCTATAGACTCTTATGAGAGGGAGAGAGAGAAAAAGGGCACATTTGTGGTTAACCTCTCAGCCGAAGGAGAGCAAATGCATGCCAACCATTCAGACCTTCACCCCCGAGACTGTTTGCCTGCAGACCTCTCTCTCTCTCTCACACACACACTCCTCCTGTCAAGGAGCAGCTGTCAGAGGCTGACTGAAGCAGAGGATGAGTGTGAGAGGAAGGATGGTGTCATTGGCCTGGAGCTTTCCAGCTCCAGAGATACACGTCAAATACAGAGACACATTTTCATACTTGCAGCAACAGAGCAGGACAAGATGATGTCATAGAGGAACAAAAACCCCGGCACAGATGTCATTTACCTTCACTGCAATGTTACGAATATTTATGAATTTTATTTTGTTTTATTTATAATTTGTATTTTATTTTTTGTTTTATTTTACATCCACATCAAATATACAAACGGTGTTTAAGTTTAGCTTTAAATTTCATGTGCTCTTTGCTACTTCAGCGTATTTTATACCTGACTGAAAAATAATTTTCTATTAATTATTCACATATGTATAACGTCTTGTTATAATTTTACAGGTGAAATTTATTTTAACCTGTAGAGAAACTTTAAAAGGCTGTAAATCTCAGTGACAACTGCTGAGTTTCAGATGAATGGGGTTTTAAATTAGATGTTTTTAATGTGAAAAAAATAATAAATATTTGCAATTCCTATTTTATCTATGAAATATTTTAATTGTCGGATACGTAGCTGCCGATTTGTGTGGCGTTTACTGACAGTCGGACAAACTCTGGATAAAGTCAGTTCTGACCGAACTCAGCTATTCGTTTGACTCTCAAAAACTTCGCTTTAATCATTTATTATTATTATTATTATTATTAAGAAGAAGAAGAAGAAGAAAATCACAGAATCACTCAGGTCTTGTTTCCTTGATGGAAATGAGTCTATTCGTTTTACAATCTGAGACGCAAATTTGGAATATATGTATTTAATAAAACCATATAATAAGCGTTAAATTAATACTCTAATAAAATATAAAACTGTTATTTAAATTAGAAATCAATATATTTCAACTGTCATCTCCGAGACGTGTTATCTGACATCTGAAAGTATACCTTGTTGATCTGAAAAGAAAAAAAAGAAAAAAACTATAAACAACTGTAAATCAGTCAATTCGTTAGATGTTTTATTTCATAATAATAATAATAATAATAATAATTGTAGAAATTGCATTAAAGTCCGTTATTTGGATAACAAAAACATTATTAACAATCTTGTAAAAGGTCAATAAATTCAACATGTTCACGCCGAAACCCCAATGGAGCACTTATATCCAAATATGAATAAACATAAGGTCAAATACAAACAACTGCTAATTGAATATTTATCATTTCAAGTCTTTTGCTGAATCCCCACAAAATCATTTCGAACCATGTTAGTGTATTTCGATCAGATTGTCAGCTGTCAGACTCATTCGCTGTCACATGGCAATTTTTAAGAGTAAGCCATTTTTAGAGACAAGATTTATGGTTTTAAAAGATTTTACATTTATTTCATGTTATTAAATAACCTCAGTCATCAGATACGAATCTGATAGCTTCATAATAAATAATACATTTCCTTTTTTAAGACGTAGAAGTCGAGATTAAAGTCTGAAGCCATAACATTTTATTCACTAATAATAGCCTACGTTAATGTCTAGTATTGTTCAAATATTAATTATATTAACGTTCATCTTTCAGGTTACTTCCTCAAGAAAGAGCATGAACACAGTTGATCACATTCAAGATTTATTTCGACAAGCTGATCGAAGTGAGCTCAAGTTCACACCATTCACAAGACCCGACGCTCCTCAGAGAACAAACTAAATAAATAGGGGGGGAAAACATTTTACATAGCAAAATCACAATAGCTTCCTTCATTGATGACATTACGCGGAATCAGTCAGAATAGTAAGACACAGAAGTCTAACGAATAGTAAAATTCACACAATAAGGCTATTTACATGTTTGCACGGTAATATATTTGTCATACTGCGTTGCATAGTTCCATTATTGCTGTCGTGATTTTGTGTTTCATGTAACACTCGAATAAATCCATCTGCACAGGATATGAGACAAGTAGGCTATTGTTGTTTGAAAAGCTTAACATTTTATTTCCATCTTCTTTTGATTCATTGATTGTAACAGGCCACCCACAGCCCGCGTCAATGCACGAGCAACAACCTATGCAGTCTGAAATAAATAGAATTGATTTGACAGTAGGCTATTTTCAAACATCGTATGAAGAAATCAAACGAAAACAAAGCAAAACAATCGGCAACAAGCACTAATTAATGAACAGATTAGTGTAGCTGGCATCCAACCCCTATGCTCACTTTTAATTATGGAAACCCGTATTTAATTCGTCCTGGCTCTGGAACGATTGGCTGCGGGGATGTAAGTCGTAAGGAAAATGGCTGTCTGGGGAAACGCGGTACATGGAACCCCGGCCGGGAACGTTACAGTATCTCATCCCGTAATGGCAGTTCTTACTGTACTCGACTTGGTCCTCGTGTTTTTTAAGCGAGAAAATCCCGTTGTAATTAATTGGGGGACTCATTTGGCCGTCAATATGAGGGCTGCTGCTCTCTGGAGAGGCGCTGTCGTAGTAGGACTCATAGGACGCGTAATAGTTGTACGGCCGGAACGGCTTGACGCCGTCCCGGGTCCCAGAGCTGAGGCCGGTGGGCGTGGCCATCTCAGCGTTCGGATACGGGTACACAGAATCGTACTGAGGCCTGCCAGAGAACGACACGTCCCCGTTGTGATCTGTAAGGAAATTTCTGGCGTTGAGCTGCAGGCAACCCGCAACCAAGTTAGTGGTGGGCTGTGACAAGCCCTTACACAGGGTCTGCACGAACCCCAGCAGCTCGGGTTTTTTCCCCGCGCTCAGAGTCTCAGATAGAGCCCATATGTAATTCTTGGCCAGCCTCAACGTCTCGATCTTGGAGAGTTTTTGCGTTTTGGAGTAGCACGGCACGACTTTGCGCAGGCTCTCGAGCGCGTCGTTGAGGCCGTGCATACGGCTGCGCTCGCGCGCGTTCGCTTCATTCCGGCGCATTTTGACACGGTCGCCGCGTCCTTCGGAGAATTTCTTTTTACGCTGACCTTTCTTCTTCAGGAGACCGTTCTCGTCCTCGTCTCTCTCCTCCTCTTCCCTTTCCGTGTTGTCGTCCTCTGTCTCCTTGAGCTCGGCGCTACTGAGTGTCCGGGCGTCTTCTTGACGGGTGAATGTGGCACCAAACTGAGACTCGCGCATCATGTCTGGGTCTTCAAATGGTATGGTTAGCATCGTCCCTGCATAACGACAAAAATTAACAACAAAATAAAGCAGTCATGACGTCAATTCCCGGGAAGCCTAATTGACCATGGGTTACATAACGTTTTTTTTTTTAAATAGGGGCTTTGCATTTATGACTAAAGAAAGTCTGTGATTAGCATTACTTGAAGAAACTTTAACGTTTTGCTCCACAATATTAATGTGACACTTTATCTGCTATTGTTTTGTTTTTTATCTTAAGTTAAGAAATTCATAAAACCAAAACGAGACTGTTGGTCTGACCTGCATATAAAATGCTTCAAAATATGTTCCAAACTTTAATATTTATCTGTAACAAATCAGTTTACAAATCTACAATGTATCCTTAACTGTGTAAATAAGTTGCAAGTAAAAAGAGGGCCATTTTTACAAATCTATCCCACTATATTGTGCATTAATGTGGTAAAATATCATCCCAAAAATATGCTTTTAAACATTGTAATTTAACATGGTAAACATTTTCATTCAAAACCGATAAATAAAAGTTAACAAATGCAGAAAAACTGTAAAAAAAAAAAAAACATAGAACGTGTTCGTCATTGAAATCTAGGCCTACGTGCTGTTTATTTTACATCTTTGATGGTTTCTAATACACCTACATTGGAAAATATTACCCGTCTGGTCATATATGATGGTTCTAGTTTTTATTTTTAATCATACACATAAATCTTATGTGGATGTTATATACCAAATTAAACGAGAACCTGCTGATTCAGATGACACGTTTTGTAATTTTAACATCAATTAGCGTGATCACATATCTAATTCCCAAATGTGAAATTGTATAAATCGACTCAAAATTCGTTTTTGTTAAGTAAATGCATTTTACACAACGATTTACAGTTTCTATTGTCATCTCAGGAGGGTGGTGGTCATGTATACTGATTTCAGTCCTGTAGCTCATTTCTAATTGGTTAGAGTGGCGATGTTATTTCCACAGACTAACAGCAATTATAAAATAGCAACGATCCTGGGTGAACTTAAAACCATGGCAATGCTTGTAAGGTAGAAAAGACTGGAGATATGCGCGTTACTGTTTATAACAATAAACACAACAACAACAACAACACATGCATGCCAAAACGGATGCTCTACAGCAGACTGGGTTTCCATGGCTCACCTGTTTCTTTCAGTGTTCAGATCGCATGTTCGGATTCCTCGCGACGTGCAGAGCTGCCTCCCATGTGCTTAATGTGAAGCTGTAAGAATTCCTTTAATCTCCCTCTCCCTCTCTCTCTCTTTCACAGAGAAATGACACCCATGCCAGGCACCAGAGCTGGTACCCATGCCATCTGCCACTGACGTTTGGTTGGTCACGTGACGCAGTCTCTGGGGACCTTCATTCGGCTCTCATCATCTGGTGCGCGCGGTAATGGGCACCGGGAGGCTCTCATTTACCGTCAAAAAACTCCGAGTTAAAAAAAAGAGAGATTAATGCAAGTTCTGCTGCGGCAATACCAGTGTAGAGACGACTAGATGATTTAGACTTTAAAGTGAATCGTGTATTTCATTATAGGGTGACGGATGCTGCAGGCAAGAGCAAATCAGTTCACGAATGCGTGTTATAGAGTCGCCTGATGGATAATAAATGCGAAGATATTACATCAAATCTCTGCTCTTACATATGAATAATATTGCCTGCGTGCATATACATTTTGAGGAACATTCAGTTGGTAAACAGAGCAAAGAATTAATTCATTGCTATAGTGCTGTCGTGATGTACTGTATGGTATACATTCAGTCAACCTCTAACTTTACAGTGATGGTAGGCTACTAGGTAATTATGATATTTAGATATTTACAGGAGAACGGGGCTAGTTGTCACAGTGGCTATATTGCAGGAATGTTTTGAGTAAAGACCAATTAGGATTATTTATGTAAATTCTGTACTCCAAATTAAGATTTTTGCTATATTTATTGGGTGAGCAAATGAACACAATAAAACTGCACTGAGAGACTAAACTGCACTAAATTAAATTAAATTATGATAATTACATTAAATTATGTTCTCAGTACAAGTGTTTTTGCTGGGGCAAGTTGTCACGTTTGTTTTAAATGGTACAAATTTATTGGCCAAAAATATGGTTTCAAACAGTATGTTTTTATTTGAATATTTATTTTTATTTTTTTTATGTTGCTGTTGACTTTTTTTTGCTAATGTATTGTTTTGTCTTTCAGAATTGTTTTTCTGTTTTAAATGTTATAAATTCAGTACACAGCTTTTTTGGTTTGGTTTTAATCTGGGTCAGATTGGGGCAAATGTGTTTTAAATGTTATAAATTAATTGGACAAAAATGATGGTTTCATACAATATGTTTTTTTTTTTTGTTTTTTTTTTTCTCTTTTTTTATTTATTAAAAAATGTTACCTTTGGCTTTTTTTATTTTAATTTAATATATATGACTAATATAATATATTGTTTTGTCTCTTATAGTTGTTTTACTGTTTTAGATGTTAGAAATTCTGTATGAAAATATTATTATTAACAAAAGAATGGTTTCATACAGTATATATATTTATATATATTTTTAAATTATTTTTTAAGTGTTTCTTTTACATTTTTGCTCTTTAATTATTTTAAATTTTGTTAATTTTTTGAGAAGCATAATAGGAAAACAGTGTGTGACAACATGCCCCACTATTGGGCCAATTCAGAAAACTGTATATTTTTGTTATTATTATTAATTAATAATATAGTGGAAATGTCCAATACACTTCTTGTAGCTTTTGTAGAAGTTTTTTTTTTTAATTTGACCTTCAAAAAAAAAAAAAAAAAAAAAAAAACCTTCCTAAGATATTAATTACTGAAAGTCCTATTCTGTGATTCCGAATGATTAACCCCCAACATCCCAACATGGTACCATGGTTATGTTAGTGTTAGACATTGTTGTGTTAAGTGCTACTGTAGTTTAGGCCCATAGTGTATGACAACTATGAATCTCTGTAGTGCAGTCTTGCGAGAAGACTGTTAGAAGTGCAGCTGTTTAGTTTACGCTTCATCGTCCTTAAATCATATAGCAGACAAACTACTACTTTTCCAGTAAATATTTCTCTGTGCAGCAGAGGGCAGTCCCCAAAACGCCAACATTTGGACACACACACACACACAGCCCCCCAAAGCGCCTCAGCTGGCATTCTGCACGTTCTGGTCCAGTTCACACCAGCATCTGATGAGTCAAACTCCTCATTTCAGACTAATCAGTTGACTGCACTAATTGCAAATGCAAATATGCAAATTTAAATTAATTAATTACTCCACTAATTAGTTCTCTGGTCTTTTGAGGTAATAAATCATTGTGTAGTTGAAAGAAAGAGATGGAGAGAGGAAAGGGAAATGCATTTATCTGCCACCTAATACTCTTATAATGATTCACACACACTCAACATGAGTCCAGTTACACGCCGAGGTGAAAGTTGGGAAGAATTCCAACAGGAATGATTTTCGGATATGTTTTTTTGTTTTTTTATCAGATAAGAATAACTTAATAATAACAAAAACCCAGCAAACAAAAAAATGTTCTAAGAATGTTTAAGTTATGAAAACATTATTTCTGCATGTTCTCAAAATGGCCAATTTTAAAAAAAAAGTTTAAAACACTTTTTTTTTCTTTTTTCTGAAGGATCATGTGACTTGAAGACTGGAGTAATTATGCTGAAAATTCAGCTCTGATCACAGGAATAAATTACATTTTGAAATAAAATTCAAATAGAAAACGCTGATTTTGAATTATAATAATATTTCACAATATTACTGTATTTTTAATCAAAAAAATGCAGCCTTGGTGAGCAGAAGAGGCTTCTTTCAAACATTTAAAAAAAAAAAACTTTTGAACTGTAGTGTATCAAAGTACTATGGTATTCCATCTGATTCAATCTCTCTACCCTGGTACCACCCAGTATTTGTCCTCAGGTTTTTAGCAGCTATATCATAGTGTGCCATGAGGCGGATGGCAAACCTGGATGGTGCTTTGCTATTCTTCCACCTGTAAATGAGGCTTTTTGTTGCCACAGCGATGACAGCTCGTGCTCGTCAGCTGTTTTAATTATCACATTATCAGCGTTTAAAGGCAGTGTGACGAGCCGAGTTGCTAATGAAGGCGCTGGAACTCTCGCAATGAGACAGAGATGAGACAAACCGCCTGCCAATATCACAGGTGACACTCCGACTGCTGGTCCGTTCCGAAGCTGCCAGTGGCACAGACAATCTATACAGGCAGAAAAAAGAAGGATGTGTCAAAGAAAGATGCGTGTGCCATACCTCTTTGAGTAAACCGCTTAAAAATATAGCCTTTTCTCCATGCAGATGTTTCTTGCAGTGGCATTAACTAACACCTTCACTGACAGCGTTGTGTGGTGCACCCTCGCCTCACTTTTCATGATCACACCTTTACTGTGTCACAAAATGCAAAAAGCACCCTGATTTCCACCACACATACACACACGATCAATCAAAACACCACGTTACATTCACATCATAACAGGTGCATCTGCTGGATTTCCTGTCGAAGGTGTTTTAAGTCTTTCCTTCAGGTTCATTGACTTATCAATGAGACATCACTAAGAAAGAACATTTGTGGAATTTTTAAATCTTTTTTTTAATTCTCATTATTAATAGATTTCACATCCTCACACTGTTCTTTGTTTCAATTGGAATTTCTTATTTAATTCCTGGGATTCCCTCTGAATTATTACAGATGTACTTTAAGGAGTAATACTTATTCTATCAAGGTCTAATAATTAACACTTATGTTATTTATTACCCTATTGTGGTTTCAAACCCATACGGCAGGAAAAACAGGACTGTACATAAAAAAAATTAAAAATCACAAAGTACCATAAAAGTATGATATCAGTCTTAAAGTCTTATAATCTACTGTATAGCTTTGAGTGAGTAATAGACCAAAATTTAAAGGTGAAGTGTGTTGGATAGTATTTTATTTATACTATAATAGTACTTACTAATATTTTGAATTACTTTTTCATATATTTCTATTTAGTTTTAATGTATTTTTGTGTAGTTTTAGTAATTTTAGTAACTTCCAATGATTTATTTTAGTTAGCTGCAAGGCAACGTTTCAAATTTAAATTTTTTTCAAAGGTTTTGGAATCTGTTAACTTAGTATCTATTGTATGCTGTTGTAGTATTTATTAATATTTTGAATTAGCTTTTATCTGTATACTTTCTCTTTTTAATGTTAAAGTAACTTGTTATGTGATTGTCATTTCTTATTATTATTTAGATTTTCTACTTCACTTTAAAGGGGTCATATGATGTTGCTAAAAGAACATTATTTTGTGTATTTGGTGTAATGAAATGTGTTTATGCGGTTTAAGGTTCAAAAAACATTATTTTCCACATAATGTACATTATTGTTTCTCCTCTATGTCCCGCCTTTCTGAAACGTGTCGATTTTTTTGGGTTGAACTGTTCCGGAACTGTTCTTTTGGAAGGCCAAATAAAGTAGTTTTGCTTTCACAATGAAACACACAGCATCTTCACGACATGGCAGCGGCAGCAACAATACTACAGCAAGAATCAAAGTTATGCCTTCTTTCTTTACGTGAAAATTTGTGTGGTGTTATGCAAATCTTCCCACACAGTGCTAATGTATTTTAATGTATTTTTTAGTATTTTCTTTAATTTAAGGTTTATTTTAATTAATGAAACCATTTTTTAATAGTTTTATTTTTAGTTAACAGTTAAGCTGGTTGGAAAACTGAATTGCAGAAATTATGACTGTTTTACAACAGGTTTCCCAGATCCATGACTCATATGGACTACTTTTACTCAAATTTCTGATTTATATTTACTTTTAGATATTTTTAATTAACGAAAATCAGTTTAATAGTTTTAGTTTTAGCTAACAATAACAACATGGTTGGAAAATGGAATTGCAAAAATGTTGACTGTTTTTAAACTGTTTTCCCAGATTCCATTGATTCACTTTTATGGTACGTTTTCTGTCATTTTATGTTCTTTTGTCCTCAATTGCCCTTTTAACATTCTTCAACAAATGTTGAAATTAAGTCATATTTTATTTCAGTTAAAGTTTTTTTTTTTTTTCGTAAGAATAATAGTAGTCCAAGGCACTCGAATCTTATTCAAAAAGTTTTAAAAAGCCTTTATTTTAACATGGCTATAAGTTTTGAAAAACAGGTGACAAGTGCACACCTATGCGTTGCGGCTATTTTGCCTTCGTCAAAACATTTTTTTTTTTTAAGTTTAGTTTAA